TATGTGTCCCATACATCGTGTTGGACATGGTCCCATGCATCGTGTTGGACATGGATCCCATGCATCGTGTTAGACATGGGTCTCATGTATTGTGTTGGCATGGGTCTCATGCATCGTGTTAGACATGCGACCCATACATCGTGTTGGACATGGGTCCTATGCATCATGTTGGACATGGGTTCCATGCATCGTGTTGGATATGTGTCCCATACATCGTGTTGGACATGGGTTCCATGCTTTGTGTTGGACGTGGGTTCCATGCATCGTGTTGGACATGGATCCCATGCATCGTGTTGGACATGGGTCTCATGTATTGTGTTAGACATGGGACCCATACATCGTGTTGGACATGGGTCCTATGCATCGTGTTGGACATGGGTCCCATACATTGTGTTGGACATGGGTCCCATACATCGTGTTGGACATGGGTTCCATGCATCGTGTTGGACATGGGTTCCATGCATCGTGTCGGACATGGGTTCCATGCATCGTGTTGGACATGGGTTCCATGCATCGTGTTGGACATGTGTCCCATACATCAGGTTGGACATGGGTCCCATACATCGTGTTGGACATGGGACGCATGCATCGTGTTGGACATGTGTCCCATACATCAGGTTGGACATGGGTTCCATGCATCGTGTTGGACATGCGACCCATACATTGTGTTGGACATGGGTCCTATGCATCGTGTTGGACATGGGTCTCATGCATCGTGTTAGACATGCGACCCATACATCGTGTTGGACATGGGTCCTATGCATCGTGTTGGACATGGGTCCCATACATTGTGTTGGACATGGGTCCCATACATCGTGTTGGACATGGGTTCCATGCATCGTGTTGGACATGGGTTCCATGCATCGTGTTGGACATGGGTTCCATGCATCGTGTTGGACATGTGTCCCATACATCAGGTTGGACATGGGTCCCATACATCGTGTTGGACATGGGACGCATGCATCGTGTTGGACATGTGTCCCATGCATCGTGTTGGACATGGATCCCATACATCGTGTTGGACATGGATCCCATGCATCGTGTTGGACATGGGTCCCATACATCGTGTTGGACATGGGT